CAAACGAAATGAAGGCGTCGACATGCTAGCCGGCCACAAACCGGTTGGGCCAGTGGACATGGCGACCAGATCGTGTGCGGCGAACCGGAGGTGTGCTGTCGCTAGTAGGTGGAGGAGGCCTCACTGTCTGCGGGGGGGTACAATGTTGGGGTGAGGAATGGTTACCATCGTCGATGTAGGCCGGCTTGACGCGATCAATGCTGACTGTGTCGGTCTTGCCGTTGCGATCGATGACAACGTCTTTGTCAGATCGACGAAGGCCTTTATACGGCCCATCATAGGGTGGTTGGAGTGGTCGTCGGATAGCGTCATGCCGAACTAAGACGAAATCGCACTTATCCAGGTCGGGAGGGATGAAGGAATTGGCGGGTGACGCCCGAGGGGGCGTTGCGCGGAGCTAGCGCATGACACTACGCAGCTGCTCCACATAACTGCAAGGTTCGAAAAGCGTTAGCAAGTTTGAGAGAGACACTAACTCACCGGGCAGTCGTAGGGAGGTTCCGTAGACAAGATCAGCTGCAGTGCAACCGATGTCGGCCTTGAGAGTGGAACGAGGGACAACAGCACCAGGGGGAGGTGATCAGACCATCGGGAAAGATCGGGCTGGGCCATAAGGGAAGTCTTGAGCTGTCGATGGAAGCGTTCGACGAGACCATTTGCTTGAGGGTGGTACGCTGTTGTTCGAATTCGGTTGGTACCGAGAAGGGAAGTGAGTTCGCGAAACAGCGTGGACTCGAATTGGGATCCGCGGTCAGTGGTGATAGTCGCAGGAACTCCAAAATTGGACACCCAATGAGTCAGGAAAGCTTTTGCAACGGTTTTGGCACTGATGTCCGGAATAAGCGCAGCAACCGGCCACCGAGTAAAGCGACCAATGCATGTCAGCATGTAGACAAAACCGTTAGATGGTGAAAGCGGACCTACCAGGTCAATGTGCACATGACTGAAGCGTGCATCAGGAGTGGCGAAAGTACCTGATGAAGTAATAGTATGCCGATGTGTTTTGGCTCGCTGACATGACAGACAGGATCGGGTCCAACGTCTTACATCCCGGTTGATGTTGGGCCAGATGAATCGGTCAGTGATGAGTTTCAGTGTCGCCCGGACTCCAGGGTGGGATAGATTGTGAAGGGCGTTGAACACTTGTCGTCATAAAGTTGCAGGGACAAAGGGACGTTCATGTCCGGTAAAAAGATCACACGTTATGGTACCAGTGCCAGTGGTAAGGGGGACATCTTGAAGGCGTAAAGAAGAGTCCTCGTGGCGGTATTGGGAGAGCTCGTCATCCGATCGCTGAGCCTCAGCCATGAGTGTGAAGTCTATGGCGTCAGTTGTGATGGAAGCCATCTCGATTCTTGAAGGAGCATCAGCAACCACATTTTCCTAACCATGGACAAGTTGGATGTCGCAGGAAAACTGTGAGATGAAGTCTAGATGACGAATTTCACGGGGCGAGTATCGATCGGAGAGGCCCTCAGTGCAAAAACGAGTGGCTTGTGGTCTGTTAGAACAACAAATTCACGACCCCCGAGGAAATGGCGAAAGTGCCGAATGGATAGGTAGACGGCGAGCAGTTCTCGGCCGAAGACACTGTAGCGGGTCTCTGCTGGGCTGAGCTTCTTCGAGAAGAAAGCCAGAGGCTGTAGAACACCACTAACAGTTTGCTGAAGTGACGCACCAACGGCAGTGCTGGAAGCATCTGTCATGAGAGTTAGTTGGGCTTCAGCGCGGGGGTGGGCTAGTAGTGTTGCGCTCGAAAGTGCGGCCTTGACGTCATTTAAGGACTTGACGGCCTCCTCGGTCATCACCAGTGTCTTCTTGGAGTGGGTCAAAAGGCTGTTGAGTGGCTGCAGAATGGTGGCACCATGGGGAAGAAAACGGTGATAGTAGTTCACCATCCCCAAGAATCGGCGTAGTTGGTTGATGGTTGTCGGGACGGGAAACGCTGATATGGCCGAAACTTTTTCCGGGACGGGCTTTATCCCATCTGAGTTCACTTCGTGACCCAGGAAGATTAGACTGGGGACTCCAAACTCACACTTAGCAGCATTTATTACAACGCCGAAGGAGTCGAGTCGTTCGAAGAGGAATCTCGTGTTCAGCAGCGTCAGAAATAGCCACTAGCAAATCATCAATGTTGGCGTAGACGAAGTCGAGACCTCGCAGAACCTGATCAATGAATCGCTGAAAGGTTTGAGTGGCGTTCCTCAGACCTAAGGGCATACGAGTGAATTCGAATAACCCAAAGGGAGTGGTAACTGCAGTTTTCCGAACATCACTGGCCTCGATCGAGATTTGGTGGTAGGCACGCACAAGGTCAATCTTGGAGAATATTCGCTTACCATGTAGCGAAAGCGTGAAGTCTTGGATGTGCGGGACGGGATACTGGTCGGGGACAGTCACAGAGTTCAACGCCCGATAGTCACCACACGGTCGCCAGTCGCCGCTCTTCTTTGGGACAAGGTGGAGGGGTGATGCCCAGCAGCTGTCGGACTGTCGGATGATGCCGAGCTCAAGCATGTGTTCGAACTCTGCCTTGGCAATCTTCAAACGGTCCGGAGCAAGACGACGTGGTCGGCAAGATTTGGGAGATCCGGTGGTGGAAATATGGTGGATGACTGTGTGCTTATGTCCACTTCTCGAAATGAGGGGTTGGTCAGGCTGGGAAACTGCCTGAGGAGTGAGTGGAGAGGACAGTCAGAAATGGGCATAACAGTGAGAGGGTTGACGCAGGGGTTCACACCGGATTGACAACGTGCACGCCAGTTAGTGATGCTGTCGACGAGTCGGCGATTCTTCAAATCGACTAATAGATTGAAGTGAGTTAGGAAATTAGCCCCTATGGGGTGATGGGACCGTCGGCAATTATGAAAACCCATCGAAATATCGTTCGAAGGCCTAAGTCGAGTGTGATGGAGCGCTGTCCAAAGGTGGGGATGCTGGAATTGTTAGGAGCTGTTAGACAAGAAGAGCCGCAATCAGAAGACGATGTGGCGAACATACGTGACCTTCGATAAATTCTCCTCGGGCCAGTACAATTATATGAGAACGGGTTTGAAGTAAAAACATGTCAGTGATAAGAGAAATCGATTAAAGTTCGTCTTAAAACACAGATCGGGTGTGGGAATGTGGGGGAGGGGTAATAACAGTCAATGCCAGGGACGGGATGAGAGTGGAAGGGCGCAGAGAGTTGCAGCGTTGGTTGACCTTCGACCACGTAGGCGTGGAGCCTGAAAGTGGTTCTTCTGCGCGCACAAGATTGGCTTTTGTAACCTGATGGCGGCCGCTTCTGCTGTTGCTAACAGGCGTTGGCAGTAGCTTAGGATGGCTCGATGGGACTTTATAAATCCCACAAAAGGTCCGCTGAGTCCACACCATATCCGGAATCAACAACTTGCGCGAGAATGGCGCTATTTATGCTCCTAGTTTCGCCTTTTCCCAGCCATGCCAGGAGGTATTCTCGTATTCTTTTGGATAGTGCTGACTCGTGTGACTCGCAGCATCCTCTTGGAAAGGGACTTTGAAATAAAAAGTTTTCTTTCCAGCAGTCGGTGTGGTGGGTTTTACCGGTCGTTCGTCAATGTTCCTTGCAATAAACCTGTCAGGATACCCGTTTTCGCGAAGCAAGCACCAGATTTGTCTAAGCTCTTCCTCGATGCCATCTGTTAAAAAAATTTTCTAGCCCTTTCTGCCAAACACCGACGTAGATTTCGTTTTTCTTAATATATAGTACATTTTAGGGTAGTGGGCAATGTCCTTGATGACCCTATTGAAAACTATGCGTACGACATAAATGTGAAATGCACATCGTACTAACATTTTGCCAGTAACATTAGTTTACGGGAAATTTTTCGCAATGTTGGACAGCGAAGTGCAGTTATATACAATCAGCATAAAGTGCATTCGTTTGCGTAGTTTGTGAGGGGAAATCTCATGAAACGTCAGGGATGCGTTACTTAGGGATGAAATCTGGAAATAAAATGTATGGCCGGTCGCAGATACTTTTGCAGTGAGAGTCGTCGTTTATCAAAGATCAAACCATCCAGCTACCTTTTGAATACAGCCCCTGTGTCAGATGTCACTATTTCACTTGGGAGTGCGTTTCACGGTCGAACAACACGTTGGCTGAAAGAAAACTTCCGATGGTGTAGACGTGTACGCTCCCGCTTGACTTTATACGGATGACCGCGCAGGTGACTCATGGTCGTGAATTCAAAGGAGCCTTCAGATTTGAGCGAACATTCATGTGGAATGTCCATAACAGGTCACATCTCATTCGTCCATAGGATATGGGAAGCAAGTCTAGCTGGATGAACTACAGTCGCCGGCGATTGGGCAACCTGTGTCTTGAGCTCGACCAGGTCAGAGGTGGACGCAGTAAGAAGCTGTGAAACCTGAGCAACCACGAATGAAGGCGAAATTTTGATTTCCAGGTGTATTCATAAGTGAAGAAGAAGGGGTTTCAAGCACCGGAACATTTTGTTTATTGTCCTGAGCTTTCAGACTTGTGCAGGAGTCCATCGTCAGAGATAGTAGCAGCAACAGAACAAGCGACAGTTATGGGGCATTTAGGCCAATCATCGACCGACGACGCAAGACAGTCAATTGATCTATCGATCTGGCGCCGACGTATAGAGCCCTGCACATTCACTTCCAGTCTTGAGCCGTCGGTCGATGATTGGCCTAAATGCCATATAACTGTCGCTTGTTCTGTGGCTGCTACTATCTCTGACGATGGACTCCTACACGAGTCCGAAAGCTCAGGACAATAAACAAAATGTTTCGGCGCTCGAAACCTCTTCCTCTTCACCTGAGCAACCGTCGTGGATGACAAACGGTCAACCTCCATCATACGATTGGCCATTTTCGTTAGTGTTGAGATGCCTAAATCATCCGAGTCGGAGGCCAAGATTGTTTGCACCGATGTCGGTAGACGTTTTAAGGACATCTCTTTGAAGAACTTATCGTCGATGGCCATGTTTCCAACGGGAAAACGCATACGATGCAGGAGTTCCGACGACTTACAATTACCCAAAGCCTCTTATGAGTGCGTGATAACGCTGCCGATCTGAGACTGATGTCAGGCGAAGGAGTTCAGCCTTTAGCTTCGTGTAGGGAGTATCAGTCGGGGGATTTCGCAAAAACGTCTGCACTTGGGAAAGAATGGTAGGAGGAAGGGCCTCGACCAACTTATAATATTTGTCGGTTTCTCATGTTATCTTTGCAGAGTGAAATGTCGCTTCAATGCGGAAGAAATAAAGTTCTGGTGCATGTTGCCAGAAGTCTGGGAAGGACAAAACAACTCCACCGAGAGAAGTATTAGCATCGTTAGAGTCCGTAGAGGGCATGGCGGTAGACAGAATCAGGGTAAACGGACTATGCACAAGCAGCAAGTCTAAGTCAACAGATTAAAGTCGTAAGCGTGAACGTCCAAAGGGTCACCACTGTTGCAAACGCAAAGGACACGACTGCCAATCCCAGACTATGGATATTAGGACAAGACAGGAGCTATGAAGAAACTGTAGCAGATAAGCGGTGATAGTGTACGCCCAGTGCGCTACAACTTCAGGCCAAATTCCAAGTTGTAAGAAGTGGGACGCCAGTTGGGTAGAAGATTTTATTCCAAACGGAACAATAGGGGAAAGTTGGCAGCCGGACGAGGGTGCGTCCGGCGCCGCAGAAGGCGACAGAAAGGTCAAGGAGTTCTCTACCAAATGTGCTATAACGAGTTTGAGGGGGTGTCAATTTAGCAGAGTAGAAGGATAATGATTGGATGCCCGTTGGAGTCTGCTTTAGGAGGGCTGCACCTATAGCGCAATTGGAGGCGTCAGCAACAATGGACAGTGGAGCATCAGTTAGAGGGTGAGAAAGAGCACTTGTATCCACATGAGTCTCTCTGACACGTTGGGAAGCGTCCACGGCTGCCAGGGAGAGGAAATTCGCAGTTGTTTCCCCGTAAAAGACTTGTGAGGGGTAACATTAGTTGAGCACAGTGAGGGCTGAAACTTCGGTAAAAATTGGCAAGACCCATGAAACGGCGCAGTTGCCGGAAAGAAGTGGGAGCAGGGAACTCGCGAATAGCTGAAACTGTGGCATCTATGGGAGGACAACCGGAAGCATCTACGCGATGTCCTGGGCAGAACAACAAGGGAACCCCAAGTACGCATTTGGAGGCGTTGATGAAAACGGCAAATTGGCTCAAGCGCTCAAAAATGAGCCGTAAGTGTTGTAGGTGTTCGTGTTCAGAGGAGCTTGCTACCAAAACATCGTCGACATTGACTAAAACGAAAGGTAAGTCGTGGAGAGCTCCGTTGATGAAACGCTGAAAAGTTTGAGCGGAGTTGCGTAGCCCAAAAGGCATCCTGACAAACTCGAACAGACTAAATGGTGCTGTAATCGCCGTTTTGGGAACGTCTTCTGGAGCAACGGGTATCTGTTGGAAAGTTTTGACTAAATCAATCTTGGAACATATTGTTGCTCCGGCTAGTCTAGATGAAAAGTCGTGGAGATGTGGAAGTGGATATCTGTCAGGCACAGTGCAGGTGTTTAACCGTCGGTAATCCCCGCATAGGCGCCAGTCAACTAGAGACTTTACACACCATATGTGGAGGTGCAGCCCATGGACTAATGGAAAGCCTAACTATGCCTAGCTCCATCATGTGACTGAATTCAGCCTTGGCTATGACTAGCTTATCGGCGGCTAAACGACGGGGACGGCTAAACACGGGTGGTCCAGTAGTTGAGATATAATGTACAACAAAATGCTTGATACGTTGGTTAAATTGTGAGGGTCGTGTGATAGATGGAAATTCCGAAAGTAAACGATGATAGGGAGTAGACGAAGGGATTGTTGAAATGCGTGGGTTACGTGATTAAAATGTACGAGTGGAACATTTACAGTGTAAAGATGTCGTAGGGTCAATTAATTTATGGGACTTGATGTCAACTAGGAGACCGAAAAAGGATATAAAATCAGCGCCAAGAATGGCATTATGGACATCAGCGATAGTAAATAGCCAACAAAATGAGCGTCTTAGACCCAAATCTAGCGTTAGGGATCGTTGACCAAGTTTTAATAGAAGTATTGTTAGCTGCTTGGAGGAAAAATGAAGAATTTGGTGACTTACGGTCAGTCAAGGTGGGTGGGATTAGACTGATCTCCGCACCAGTATCCACGAGAAAATTACGACAGGAAGTTCTGTCATAGATGTGGAGTAAGCGACTGGGAGAGGATGTGCCAACCACGTTCGTCGCCCTTACTGGTCGGCAGGGGAGTTTTCCGACGCGGGTGTTTTATACTTGCACGGAGAGTGGCAGCGATGGGCGTTAGAACCATAATTATGATGATACCAACAAAAACCATAAACTGTAGGTTGGTTTGGATTGGGAGATCTCGTACTGCGAGAAATTGCAGGACTACGAGGGTTATAGACACGAGTGGCCCGGAGCTGGGAAACTTAAAGAGCGAGGGCATCCAGGCGTTTGACGACATCCTCGATTGTGGGGGTAATTGTGCTTCGACTAGCGACGTTTACCGTAACAGGAGGCTGGTAGTACTCGAGTATACGGTCAGCAGTCTGCGGGCATCTGAACAGTCGAAGAAGGAATGTTAGGCGCAAGGATGGCTTGCACAGACGAAGGCAACCGTTGGAGGAAAAGTTGCTTGAACATGGTGACATCCAGCTTTTGTCCGTCTGCCAACTGCTCCAAACGCCTAAGAAGCTGCGTTGGCTTCCTGTCACCGAGGTCCTCCTCAGAAATTAAACGTTGGAGACGTTTTTGCGTTGAGAGGGAAATGCGGAAAATGAGAGCCTCCTTTAGGGCAGTATAAGGGGCTTCTGTGGGCGGGCAATCTATGATGTCGCGGAGGTCGGTGGCGATGTCCATTGGGAGTGCTGCCACAACATAGTGAAATTTGGTATCCTCTCGTGTGATCTGACGGAGAGCGAATCGTGACTCTACAGTGCGCAGCCACAACGCGATGTCACCAAGCCACACTGATGGCAGGTTAAAGGTGTGAATGCCGGCTATCGGCTGACTGGTAGAACCGTTGGACATAATTAGCTGATGTCGGTCAGGGGTCAGATAATTGGGGTAGATGACTGGCGCGTTGACGGTGAGACTGAAGGGTAGCGGTCGTATTGGATGAAAAGGTGAGACAGCGTGACTAGCAAATAAGGGTTGGATAAATAATCTGATCAATAAGAAGTAGAGTGGGATTAATCCGAATGGAAATAGTTATGCACATAAATGAAACAGAAAGAGCTATGAACGATATAGGGTCACCAATGTAAGTGATAAACCCATTAGTTGGGCACAGTTTGATCCAGTCTCACAACACGCACTTCTTGACTGTCTGAATTTCTTCCGCCCCCTTTTTCCACATTTCGCCATAAAATGTACTCTGATTTTCCAAATCCCTAACCATTCAAAGTACTGGGTTAAATATAAGCTTCCAGTCCATAAGAAGTTTGCCTCGCCATGTGGTTACCGACGTCTTGTCATGAGACCAGATGGACGCCAGTGAACAAGCTTAGTCCACCGAGTCCATGCCGATGTACTAAATTAATACGCTGGAGCAGTGGAAGGAAGTAGATGCGTTCCGTCATCTCTGTGATTTTCATTTTCCATCACCAAGGATTTATACCGACATCTCGACCATCGGTTTCGAAGATGTCCACCGTGTGCTACACAGCAAGGTGAGAGCAGAAACGGTAACTTGTGCCTGAATTAGTTTATAGTGATAGTAGACTTGCAAAGCGTCTACCGCACTCTCTCTTCCCCACTCCCCACCTGGACCCGGTGTCAAGATAGAGTCAAGAAGATCGGAGGCGGCGTTTAAGTCAACTAAGCAACATGTACTCCAATTCAGCATTGCGGGCACCTTGGGATTTTCCCGTGAGCCGCAACCCCCTCCCCCACACCAACAACAACATTTCCGATCGAGATGTCGCCCCCCCCCCCACTTTCCGAATCGGTCACAAGGTACGGTATGCTACCTGCCTGATTTTGGCATCTCATCCCTCGTTCGAATTCCTAGCTAAACCTTGGTCTGACAGGGGAGCACTGCGGTGACTTAAGGTCCCACCTATTACGTTCGCCATCAAACGCTTAAGACCCCCTTCTCCCCGGCCTAACAAGTGACCGTCAAAGCCATTCGCCCTGCTAGGGGCTCGCGCGCTGACGGTTTGATGAATTAGCACGTTCCGCCACTAAGAACCCTTCATGTTGGCCAGCCACCCAATAGGCTTGCATGGACATGTCCTTGCGCCCCAAAACTCCGATCCACTCTCAGCTGGGCTCTACGAGGGGACGTCGACAGTTTAGTCGTCGCGTAGTTAATGCCCATCGTGTGTCCCAGAACTTGATGGGCGCAGGGCAGTGACTTGTGAAGCACCTGCCTCACCCTTTTATCCCTGAAGTGACGTACAGGCACACATTAACTTGTAGAGTCCCGTTTTGCCCTTTGTCGGATTACACGAAAGGATACGAAATTTCACTATTTTGTGGCAGCTCTCCCAATGGATGTCGCCACCGACCAATTTAAGTGATAAACCCATTAGTTGGGCACAGTGAGTAGGCTATCCGCGAAACGAAGATATAAGTATCCCAACAGTTACAAACTAGTAAATAAGAACAAAGTCGTCAGCAGGTAAAAATGCACGTGCTAGTTCTTTGTTGGGCACAGAAATTTAACAGAAGGAGCTATGAACGATACGGAGTCACCGATGTAAATAGGTTTGCTCCCCTCCCAGACCTGATTACCGGTGAAAAAGCCGAACGGAGGAAGAGTAGTTGAATTGAATGAGAGATGTGCCAACGGTAGTGTTGTGGGCAGCGTGGGCGGCTGCAGTTGGCATGAATGAGCCAGGTGACTAGAGCAGCTGGAGAAATCCGGTGGTTGTGTTCTACTTTGACGGCAAGTCCGTATTTGCTGGCATGATGGGCGGACTGCTTTGTTGGATTAGAACGCGACCAGGACCAGATGGGCGAAAATTGTTTGATGACCTCCATCTCGCTTTGCGACAGGATGTCGCTATGCAAATTCTCAATTTCGAGAGCGGAACTTTGTGAGGCTGGAGCTCAGCCACGTTAGCAGTTGCGCATTAGATCACGTCGGGGTCACCAATATCGCGGAAGCTAAAGCCATCGCATAACCCTAGCCACTACGATCTTCTGGCCCGGTCCCCAATAGAAAGAGAAAATCTGGACACCATTTGAGAAGCTTGGAGAAAGTTGCCATCCGAATGAGGGTACGCTTGGCGTCCGCCAGAGCGGCGTCCCGTGTCTCCGCGAAGGTGTCTGGGCCAGTTGTTTGCGCCTTTGATCCGTTGTGTGGTCCTGTAACTAATCAACAAAGCAGCCGCTTTGATTGGCGGGCAGAAGAGCAGTGACACAAAATCGGCGGCGACCAAGTGGCGGAGTAGTTTGTTAACGCGAGTCCGACATACCCGTACCAGCATGTTCACCGGGGACGAGGAGGTCAAGGTGGTGACAAGCCACGCCGGCCGATGCGTGTGAGGTGGCGCCAGTTTGTGTGCGCAGCTGGCGAAGAGGCTCTACAGATCAAGTCGAAGGGGGTTGCCGTGCCACAATTAATTATGTCAACCGGTAGGGCAAGGGAGTGTGAAACGACCAGTCTTCCCGGAGGTCGTTTTTTGAATCGCAAGTGACGTCTTTCAGGTAGAACGCCCACCATTCGGAGTAGCAGCGATAGGAGAAGCCCTGTATTCCGCCACAAAACACCGAGAAAGGAAGTCGTGACAGTACTTAGATTCCCGTTTTTTTTTGCAGGGAATCTTGTTTTGGATTTAAACAAACATAACCAAGTCGTTCGCTGTAGGGGCCAACTGGCCCTGTCTCTCCGAATCAGCTGAACTGAACAGGATCGCTATTGTACTTTGAAGAACAGTGTATATTCCCGCCGACGTGTGTGTGTGGAATATACCTGTCTGCTGTAAAATATGCCTTTATTCATTTGTAAATCCTTCCTACTCACATGTATATGTATATTTGGATTATTGAATGTTGGTGCCAATGGCCGATAATAAAACAGGCGTGTCCTTATTCGAAGAACAACTCTGCGACAGAAAGCGGCCAAAAACTACTGGAGTACTTACCATCGTGATCCGCCTCCCAGGAATCGCCAGTGCTACATTACAGGAAAGAGTCATCGCCTGCGTCCCCTTCTGGGGCCTGGACGCTCTGGTACGTAGTGTGGCTGCCGGTCGACTGTTTCCGGCAAAGATATGAAACAATTAAGTGGTTTCTTCTTCCTCTTCTCTTCTGCCCCCCCTCACTGGCCTGATCCTGCACGCTTTCTGTTTTAACCCGGATCTAACTGGTCATGGAGTATTTAAACTCCGAGCCGGTAAAGACCGAAACATTGCTGAGCCATTTGCATTCTGTTCATTTTTGCCGGTGGTTTTGCACATCAACATATGCTGGTATGTATACAGAACCGAGGACAGTCAATTCAGAAGCGTTGTCCTGTCTATTTGCAAAACTGCTGTCTGGTCATTCGTACTTATTTAGCAGCCAATCGCGTCTTCTTCAAAGTTTATACTTGAAAAAATGTTACTTTTGGTTTTAAAGTAGCTTTTTTCATTTCCCGAATAATTGTGAACCCGACCTGCGCAGGACTTCTAAACTACACGTTGCATACCTTCTGTGTAAAGAAAATCACATATCTCTCTAGGCCTTTGAGAAGACGTCATACTGGTTCCGGTAAAATTCGCAATGGACGTGAACCCTGTTGCTAACTTTATAAGCAACATTAATAAACGGTCTTCAAGAATCTCTTAATTGCAGACTTCTTTAATGGAAAGACGCCTTCTGTTCAAGTGTAAGATTATGTATTATATGTGCCATGTGTCCTATGACACAGCGTTCTTTGTCACCAGTAGCAAGCTGGCGGGCGGGCAGGATGGGGTCGAGTGAGATCCTGACTACAACAGTGAGGGTCACATGCCTACTTGACTGCAGATTACCCTGTCCTTGTCTGTCCGATACGGGGTCGCCTTTTTGTGATTACCAGTAACTAGATTGGGAATTTGTTTGCTCGAGAGCAGCAGACAGACGTATATGCATGAACTAGGCCCCACGAAAAGTAACATTTTGCATGTCCAAAACTGCAAGTGACTATTCGATGATTGGAACTGAGAGGGAACAGAAAAAGCCGAATAGCGGTTGTGTCGCAGTATACTCTCCAAGAGTGCCACTGGCCAGACGCATACGGCTGTTTGATGGTCGTTACCTATCATCAGTACGTCATGAAGTGAGGTATATAAGCATGTCAAGTTGGCGTTTGACCCTCACTGTTGTGGTTAGGATCTCACTCGATCCCACTCTTAGCGAGCTGCTCATGTATTATATGTGGTATGTGGCATATGACACAGCGTTCTTTGTTGCCAGTAGCAAGCTGGCGGGTGGCCAGAATGGGATCGAGTGAGATCCTAACAACGGCAGTGAGGATCACACGCCTGCTTGATATGTTTGTATATCTCACGTCATAAGGCCTATGACAACGTACTGATGATCAGTAACGACCTTGAAATTGCCGTCTGCGTCAGGCCTGTTGCACCCGTAGCGAGCTGCATATGTATTGTATCATATATATTATATATCATATATATATATATATATATTATATGTATATATTTTGCAGAGAAGATAAACGCTCAATCACTGGGACAGTACATGTATTAGTTTGAGCTCTCAGCCTCGTACGGAAGGCCATCATCAGAGACCATGGGAATGCAACGCCAAATGAGCAGTTTAGTAGTCAAACAAAGAGGGGGGTAGGGGTGGAGGGGTCTACGCCGACTCACAGCGTCGTGACGGCGTACGCCAAAGCGCACGCTTTGGCGCCTTTATATATTGTAAAGAAGATGAAGATCCGATCTCTGGGACAGTGGGTTTATTAGTCTGAGCTTTCGGTCTCGTACAGGAGGCCATCGTCAGAGACTGTGAGAAGGCAACATCAAATGAGCGGTTTTTGTAGTCACGCCATGAAGGGGGGGGGGGAGATATGAGTGCAGCGGGTGGTATTCTCGATAAGTTGCGTCCCACGCCGTCTCACGGTGGCGTGACTGCGTGCACCCTTGACTGGAAATTGGGTCTCGCCCCTTGGCCGCGGGAACGTAGCGCGTGATAGCAGGGGGGTATTTCAACATGCCTGTTGATAGAGTTGGTGCCAGACACCCAGGCCTCTAACAGTTCACGTCCTGTCTTATTGCTGGCCCGCGCCGCTATCCGCGTGCTCGCAAAGTTGAATTCGTGGCCCTCCTCCAGGGTGTGAGTGGCGATCTGAGACAACGGGTCGCCTCTCCGGATCGCGCGTTTGTGCTCCGTTATTCGTGAGCTAAGTCGCCGTCCGGTTTGTCCTGTGTACTGGCGAGGGCAGTCCCGACATGGGATCTGATAGACGACGCCCGATTGTTCAGACAGTTAACTGAACAAGAACTGAGAGTGCTGAGTCGTGAAGCCAACTTTAATACGGCAGATGCCAAACCGGCCGAATTTATCGCCGCACTCGAAGCCATGTTGGTAAGAACCAACGCGACCGACGAGGCTAAACACACCGTACGCCAGAAAGTCACCTCCCTACTGCTGACGAACAGGCCCATCAATAATATGTCGCCCGCAGAAATAGAAGCAATGAAGGAATTAAAAATGGACAAAGATATAATAGTGCTGCCAGCCGACAAAGGAAGATCAACCGTCGTGATGAACCGCGCTGACTACAACGAAAAGGCACAAGCCCTCCTAGACGACCAACAGTCCTACAAGTCCACGCCTCCCTCGCGAGCCAAATCGATGATTGGTCAACTAACTGGACTCCTGAACCGACTCAAGCGAAACAGTGCTATATCGCTAGACGAATGGCGACAGATGAAGCCAACGGACACGGCACTGGCCCGGTTTTATGGATTACCCAAAATCCACAAGCCCAATGTTCCCCTTCGACCGATCGTTGCCTTGAAAGGCGGCCCCACTTACAATCTATCCAAGTGGATGGCCCGAAAACTTAACTTTCTCCGAGAAGGCTCAAGGACCTCCATCAATTCGGTCTCCCAATTCCTGGCCGACATCCGAGGAAAAGTTGTCCGGCCGGAGCAAATCATGGTGTCCTTTGACGTGGTTTCATTATTCACGTCCATCCCACCGGACCTGGCACGCGACGTTCTTCGCAAACGACTCGAAGAGAATTACGACGAGACGAACAAACCCCTAAAAATCGACCACTTACTGCAACTGTTTGCTTTCTGCCAATAAACCTTCTTCACCTTCAATGGCAGAACATACGAGCAGAGCAAAGGAACGCCGATGGGTTCGGCAATATCCAGCCTGGTTGCAGAACTAGTCCTGCAGGAGCTGGAAAAAGTCGCCTTCGACCACTATGAACCTGCATTTTGGCGCCGGTACGTGGACGACACGTTCGTTATAATTAAAAGGAGCAGACTGGCCGACTTTAGAGACCTGCTCAACGGCATCTTCCCAGACATTCAGTTCACAAGGGAAGAAGAGCATGCCGAACAGCTGCCTTTCCTTGACGTTCTCATCACACGCACACCCTACGGCGAACTCAACACCACGGTGTACAGAAAGGCGACTAACACGACTCAGATTCTCAACTACCACAGTAACCACCCAATGGCGCATAAACGCAGCTGTGTTAGGACACTCTTCCAGAGGGTAAAAACGCACTGCAGTGAACCAGAGGGACGAGTACGAGAACTTCGGCACCTTCGGGACCAACTGGCAAGGAATGGATACCCGAACAGCTTCGTCAGCCGCTGCCTCCGCACGCGCCCACGGCGAACAAACGGAGGAGAGCCGCCAACACTCTGGCACCCTCTGCCATATATAAAGAACGTATCCGAAGCGATGGAACGTATTGCTGGAGAGCTCGACGTGGGTATCGCTCACCATCCGACAGCGACCATGCGCAGCAAAAATCATGCCAGTGAAGGATCGCCTAGACGTGGGTGAACAATCGGGCGTCGTCTATCAGATCCCATGTCGGGACTGCCCTCGCCAGTACACAGGACAAACCGGACGGCGACTTAGCTCACGAATAACGGAGCACAAACGCGCGATCCGGAGAGGCGACCCGTTGTCTCAGATCGCCACTCACACCCTGGAGGAGGGCCACGAATTCAACTTTGCGAGCACGCGGATAGTGGCGCGGGCCAGCAATAAGACAGGACGTGAACTGTTAGAGGCCTGGGTGTCTGGCACCAACTCTATCAACAGGCATGTTGAAATACCCCCCTGCTATCACGCGCTACGTTCCCGCGGCCAAGGGGCGAGACCCAATTTCCAGTCAAGGGTGCACGCAGTCACGCCACCGTGAGACGGCGTGGGACGCAACTTATCGAGAATACCACCCGCTGCACTCATATCTCCCCCCCCCCCTTCATGGCGTGACTACAAAAACCGCTCATTTGATGTTGCCTTCTCACAGTCTCTGACGATGGCCTCCTGTACGAGACCGAAAGCTCAGACTAATAAACCCACTGTCCCAGAGATCGGATCTTCATCTTCTTTACAACAAGAACCTGGGATTCGCATATTCGCTTCCATCCGCCTTTATATATGTTCATTGGAATTTCGGGTTCTGCCCTAAAAAGTCATGTCCCGGAGACTTAACACCATGTCCTGCACTGAATAATTTCTGAAATGATTCGCTTGATTATTTTCTGGAGTTCATGTTACCAGAAAGCTCATAGGGGACGCTGGGTGAACCCACTGAAGAGCGGAGCCACTTTCATCTGTGTCACGCAGCGGCAGAATGTCGGCGAAACACGTGTCTGGACTTTTAGTTAGTACCTATGTCGGGAGTACGGTATAATACGTTTGCCATATGTATACGTATGTGTGTGTACACAAGGTTGCGCATCCTCAGCCACAGACAAGAAATGGCGACACGGGGATCATTGACCTAATACCCGATGTTTTGGAAATAGGCGAGTTGCCATCGTTGTTGGAAGCAAGCGTGAGTCCAGAGGACGCTGACATGGCCCCAGTGGGAGGAGCCTGCCACTTCTATTTAACGACCGCGATACGCATTAACAAAGTATGCAAACACAATTCGCTGGTCGTCGTTACCTTCATATCACTGTCCCCATGACGATTTTACATCAATTTCTCATCCCAAAGACCC